TTTCACCTTGGGTTCTGTGTGTGAGTTTCAACTTGTTGTGTGGCCATGTGGTCACTTTCCTTTTGAGAGGTTGTCTTGTCGAAAGCACGTGGGTGCGAATGACATTGGTTTGTGCGTTGTCCTTCAGTTTTGGGATTGCTTTTGTAGCATGTTGTGTTGGATACTCAGAGATATACTCTATAGTTATCTTGGTTTCTCCTTTTGTTTTGTTGGGGCTGGATTTCGGGGACGAAATCCCTTTAAGGTGGGAAGGTTGTAATGACCCGGCTATTTTCTTTCCTTTTTTTTTTTCTCAGATTTTCATGGATATTTTTTTTTTTCGTTGATCTTTTCCTTTCTGAGTTCGATTTCTCGTCACTTAGTGTCATCTTGAGTGCTCGGGGATGGTTTCCGAGACTCTTTTCTGTGGATTGACGACTTCCTTTGAGGATCGAGTTATTTTCACATTTTCACTTCTGTGACACTATTCACTTTTCGTCTTTTTCTCGGTTGTCACTTTGTTAGCACAACCTCACTTTTCGTGTTCGGATTTGACTCCGATTTTGCATGCATCCATGATATTTAAATCCCAAGCTATGAGTATTTTTGCTTTCCTTGAAATGCATGCCATTTGAGTTCTTTCTTCCTTAGGGGTGTGGATGCACATTTCTTTGGAATTTCTCTTTCTTTTGGGCCATTTGTGTAATTACTGTAAAGTAATTATTTTTCGTCTTAGGGACCATTTTGTAATTAAATTTAGAAAATATTTTCAAAAAGGACCTTTTTGCAATTTTCAGAAAGTGTGACAAGTGTCACACTCTCATTGGTCCACTTGTTGACATGCGTGTGGAAACACTTTGAGGCCTTGGATGATGACACATGGAGGGTGAAGATTCACCCACTTGTTGGCCTAGGATCGGTGCACTTGTTGGCTTGGATGGATGACAAGTGTAGGCTTAGGATTAAACCTACAATGGATGCTTGGATGAGTGACAAGTGTAGGCTCACAATTTAATCTTGCATTAGTGTGTGTGTGAGAGGTAGTGTAAAAACACATAGTGAATGGAGGATCTCTATCCCCTCCACTCACATTTCATCTTCATCATTTTCCATTTCCTCCCTCTCTTGTAAAGAAAACCCTAGCCTCCATGGATGGAGCCTAAAGCCTTAAGCTTTGACATTGATTTTTGAGAGCCTTCCATTGATTTCCAAGCTTGAATTTGGGAATACTTTTTGTTCCCCTCATCCTTCTCTTCATAACCCTTGAAGGGTTTACCATTTTGTATTGATTTGCCTTGGATTCTAGAGAGACACTTCTCTAGTGAGGTAGGGGATGTTATAGAGTTATATTTTTGTTTCTTGCATGCTATTGATGCTTATATAAGTTGTATGCATGTCGTTTGTTAATTTGAGAAATTAGTGATTTATTATATCTTGCATAGAACTCATTTTAGACTTGGTAAATAGCATGGTCATGAGTTGATCTTTGATATATATTAATTTGGGATCATTTGAATAACTTTTGAAATCTAGAGATTTGATTAATTTAAATTAATTAAATTCTATATGATGGTATCTTGCTCATTTGACACTTTTGATTTGATATATGTAATGAGCATGCTATGTTGTTTAACATATATTAATTTGAGATTATTCAAAATTGATTTGAAATTTAGAGAATTTGATTATCTCTATCTAATGGCTCCATGGATCTATTAGTATTTTAGAAGTTGTTTCTATATTCAAATCATGGATTTAAACTTGTTATGTATTCACTTTGTTGTGTTTTGAGCATTGGACAACTTTGTTGTTATATTTATATTCATGAGAACATGTTTTTCTTTATGGAATATACTGATGCCATGTGTAATGAATTGCACACTTTGTAATTGACATTATATATGCCATTTTAGAATTGAAACCCTAAGGCATGGATTGTGTGGTTTCAACCTACTTGTACATAGAAGGTGGTTTTCGTGCATTATATAAATTACATATAAGTTGTGAACTTATTTGGATTATTTTGGAGTTGCTTGGGACATTGTTAAGTTGTGATGGTTAGGGTTTGGCTCTAGTACGGGGACAAGAGTCCTCTAAGTCAAAAGTTCGCGCGTTGGGTAAGCTGCCTGGGGGTTAGTAGCTCCAAATTAGCCCTATAAAGTTCGTGCGTTGGGTAGGCTGCCTGGGGGTTAGTAGCCCTAAATTTGCCTTGTCTCGGTAGAAATCCAAGCTTTGATGTACAAGTCTTCCACTATTTGTTTTCGCATTCAATTCCAAGTTAACAATCATGTTTATATTATAACTTGTGGTTTTGGTTATTGGCGATTTTGATGTTGTTAAGTACATCCATGTTTATGATTTTAATGAATCATTTTGATGTTGTTAAGTACATCTATGTTTATGATTTTAATGAATCATTTTGGTGTTGTTAAGTACATCTATGTTTTATGATTTTTGTGAATCATTTTGATGTTGTTAAGTACATCTTTGTTTATGATTTTAATGAATCATTTTGATGTTGTTAAGTATATCTATGTTTTATGATTTTTGTGAATCATTTTGATGTTGTTAAGCGCATCTATGTTTTATGATTTTAGTGAATCATTGTGAACTTTGATTTTGTTAAGTACATTATACCTTATATATTCAAATGTGGTTTAGGAATGATCCTATAGATTCATTTGGAACATAGACTTTAGGTGGCATGATCCACTATAGTTGTTTTAGCATTTTAGATTTCAAGTTAGTGACCTTGAGAATCTACATCTTGTAACTTGTATAGCATGCTCTATGTTACTTGAATTGCACGAATGATGTGATTTGTGCTAGAAATGATCTTAGGTAGCTTAGGATGCTCCTTGGGTCACACTTTGACATAGACGTTAGGTGGCATGAGCCCCTTTAGCATGTTTCACCTTAAGGTGATAAAATTGTAAAAAGTTAGGTCGATGCATGCTCATTTCCTACAAGTAGCTTTATGTTGCTCACCCCAAAGTTACTGGGGTATATTTCAGGTACAAGAATCAAGGTTGCGATTCTCGTCATGCTTGGATTATTAGTGGACTTGAAGATTTCCATTTCTTGTAAAGGTTGGCTTGAAAAGCCATTTGTAGCCTTATATGTCAAAATGTATATATTTGATTCCATATATGTAATGTGTACATGAGTACACTTTTTACAATGTATTTGACATGTATGAGATGTGGCCAGAGGCCAATGACTTGTATTTTGTATCCTTTGTACTTTCTGACTCCATGAAATATTATGAATATATTGAGAAATGTTAAGTAATAGTTTTGCCATGGTTGCATCGGGTGTGAGAAATTTATTGTCATTCTTTCATAGGGTCTCATTATTCATGTTTGAAGTGTGGCCAAGGGCCAAATGGTAAGGTCATTTGTGAAATTTGGTTTTCAAAATTTTAATTTCAAATTTATTTTCGCCTTTTTGGCCGTTGGGGGGTCGAATTTTGACTCGACCATTTTCGGGAGCCGCGAACCATTCCCGCAAGCTCAAAATCACCTATTACATTTGCGTGCATATTCATTTTAGTCTAGAAGTGAATTTGGGGTCAAATTTATGTTTGGTGCAAACTCACATTTTTGCCGTTTTGAGCCTAAACTGAGCATAAGGGCATTTTGGGGTTTTCATATGAAAAATAATGTTTTCTTTTGGCATGGTTGGCTAGAAAACATGATTTTGTGGGGGGTTTCTTCTTTGTGTTTTTTTCAAAAAGGCCCAAAAATTCCTCAAAATTGCATTTCAAGTGCAACCTACAGCAGTTCGAGCACTCCAAGGTGGGGTTCGAGCGCTCGAAGTTGGGGCAGAGAGTTTTGGCCCTTGGGTATGTACCAGTCGAGCACTCAAAGCCCTTGCATGAGTGCTCGAGGTACTGTTCATGTATGTGTGTGTTTGTGTCTTGGTTCAGCACTGCACCTCCGACTTCAAACTATCATATCTTCTTTATTTTAACTTCGAATTGGTCCGTTCTTGAGTCCAAATTGACCGCGTCAAATTAAGCTTTCCAATGGTACCAATTAGAGCTTCATATTCTTCTTTTAACTCTGGATATTCAAGTTTTAGTAAGGTAGTGTCTGTTTTTGGTTCGAATCGGGATAGGGTTTCCCTTCCTTCAACTTCAGAACTTGATTTTTTTGTCGTCCGGGCTCTGAATCATGCGATTCTTGAGTCTATTCTTGTTAATTTTTCATTGTCTTTCCAATGGTGTGCACGGTGGCACCCATTTTGGTGTGAAATGACCATTTTACCCCTTGGTTCATTTTTTTTCGGATTTGGCATTCTTGCTTCATTGCTTGGCTCATTTGAGTTTAATAGCTTTATGTAGAGTAATTTTAGTGCCTTAGGGATGATGTACATCTTTAGAGGTCACCTTCTTTCGTTTGCTTCCGCATTTTGGATCCTTTTCGGGTCATCACAGGACACACTGGGTTGAAAAATCTAGGGTCATCTTAGATAATATCTAAGGAAGTGGTGTCCGATTGACGTGAGGCATCATATAAGTCCATATTATTCTCATGGCCCTCGTAAATCAGACTAACCCCTAACCTCTTCACCCATAAACGACTTCCTGCCACTTGTTTAACTGTCATTTCCACTTCATCTCTATCTTCCAACTGACAAAGTTTAAGGTGAGGGATTAGTATATAGGAGAGGCATATTTGTTCAAATCTATCTGCATACAAATATATTGGTATTTCACAATGTGGTCCCCGTCCCTGAGGCCACTTGGTTTTATTAGAAACGCAATATGTAGCCATGTATAGGAGTGTAACATCTCCCTCACTATTGTGAGAAAAAACATAACAGAAAATAATGCCTTGTATTATCCGACCCATGAGCTGAGGCATTCGAAAATGTATAAAGTATCCCTCACTCTAGTAGTTGCACCACCTCGGCACCTCACCCCCGGGAAAACAAATATGCAACTGTTGTTCTCGATTTCCCTACATTAGACCCACGACCTGAGTTAATTTGTTTCTTCAACTATCTGCCCATAAAAACTATAAATTTACTGGAAGGCTGGGAAGTGATTCAAGCCGAGTACATTTATGTATGAAGAGACACCCCAGTCGTGGAAGGCTAGTGATGGTAGTTGGTAGGTTAGAAAATTTGTTCCTGTTAAGATCCAAAAATCCCAAGGACACCAAACTACCAATTTCACTGGGCACATTTGTTATATTACAGTTTTCCATAGATAATTACCTGATGCTACTTGGCAATTGTAATGACGAGAAGCTTGATGCAGGTGGCGATCTTCGAAAAAATGCTGGCCACTCTAATTTAGAACAACCGGACGTATTGAATTCAGCAAGAGACTTCAACATGAAAATGCTCAAGGGAATCTTCTTAAGATTCTTACAATTCTTCAAGTTCAAGACAATAAGATCTTCGAGACGTCCAATAGTGTGGTGAACCTCTACCAGTTTTTACAATTATTAAGCAATAACTTCTCAATACTGGTGAGGTCCGTGAAGTCCAGAGTTTTAATCAAGAGATAGGAATGACTGAGATTAAGGTACTTCAATTTGCACAAAACCTGTTAGAAACAGAAAGAGACAATAAATTTTCAAGCATGTCATTGTAAAATTTAAGTAGTTTGAAGCAGACGATTAAAAAAATAGTAGCATCATCGTACCTTTGTTCCTTCCCAAACTTGTTTGAGTTTATAATAGCTCAAGTCAATGGCAACCAGCTTATCCATAATTAAGGTTGGTGGTGTACATTCTAAAGAAAATCCTTTCCAAGACAACCATACAAGTCTTTTAGAGAGATGTTTGTAGCTTCCACTTACTTGGACATAATTGTGATGAAGCAATCTCCAGCTCTTCATCTTTGTAAATGCCTCCGCATTTACTTATAGATCCTCTGATTCTGGTAAGTTTAGGACTAAGCCTAGAACATTTTCTGTTCCCTAATGACAATAACAGCTGCATATATAAGTGTGTGTGGTGGGGGGACATTAAGTTGAAAATAGGTGTCACATACTAGATTGTGAGACTTTCATGATGTTTCGTGTGCTATGGCATTTTTAAAGTGGCAAGAAATGTAATTAATTTAGGCATTGGTCTCTTACCATGTCATATCTTAGTATATCGAGAATGTCTTCATGATACCACAATCTACTATGTTCGCCAGGCTTTGTAGGGGATTCTTGGCGGACAATCTCTTTTGCCATGTCTTGAATCAGATCATACATCATCAGTTGGTTATGCCGCCGATCGATGCTTACAAGACAACGATCAAATAGAATGTCAATATCAATATCTGGGTAGAAACCACAGTCTTTTAGTATTTTGATGGCCAAATCTTGGTCCATTCCAACAAAAAAAACATGCGATATCTAGGAATAAACCCTTTTGTATATCATCAAGTGAGTTAAAGCTCTGCCTTAGTATATCTTGAACTTTAGGATCAGGAATCTTTTTCAACTTCTCCAATTGAGTTTGCCATTTAGGTACCGCTTTACCCAACAATGAAGAACCTAAAGCTGTAAGAAGTAAAGGAAGTCCCTTCGTATAACACACTATTGTATCAGAGAGGCTTTCATAACTTTCCAGAGGACAGTCTCTTTTAAAGGCATAGCAACTGAAGATTTGAAGAGATTCCTCCCTATTCAAATTTTCAAGCTTATACACCTCAACCACTTGAAGTGACTTTATTGCAGACAAATCTCTAGTTGTTACTACGATTCTACTTCTGGGACGTAACCAATTACGATTTATAGCCAAAGCACTCAATTGGCTGTCGTTATCCACATCATCGAGAACAAGAAGAACCCTTCGACGCCATACTTGACATTTTATCACCACAATTCCATGATCCCCGCATCTTATTTTCTCATTTAGGAGATCCAACAGAAGTTGTTTTTGTAGTTTCCCATATGGCAACAATCCTAACATCATTACTACTACTATTTGTGATGAGCGCTCAAATGTACCGCATTTTAGGACCTAAGCGAGGGTATTTTAGTCCAATAATCTATCTTTATTGTCTCGTTTTAGTACTTATTTGTGTTTTTGTCTATTTCAGGTCAATAATGTTAAAACGGGCTAAAAATGGTTTCTTAAGGCCTTTTTGGAGTCAAAACTAAGTCTTGGTGAGAAATTGGAGCAAAAAGAGGCTGATGCTGAAAACTGCCAAGTTAGATCCATCAAACTTATTTCTAATTGATCGAACTTATTTTAGATTGATCGAAGAAAAGTGAGATCGATCGAATCCTGATCTATGGAAGAAAAGTCTGATTGATCGAACCCGGATCGATTGAAGAAAATTTGGATCGATTGAACTGTTCACGAAAGTTATTAAAAAACAGATCTACAGCTTATTTCAAACTAACTTGGGTTGTGCTAGAAAGAGAAGATTCTAGGGATGAGTTCTCACATTTTTGGGCTCTCAAAGCCTTGTATATATAAGAAATTGAACCATTTTTGTAGAGAGATCCATATTTTTACATTGTAATTTCTATATTGTTGTAGCTTTCTCTCTCTAAAAGGTTAGAGATTAGGGTTAGAAAAAAAGAGGGAAGTGGAGGCACATCTCAAGAACCGATCTCTAAATCCACATACTCTCTCTCTCTCTAGAGCTTCAAAGAAGAAGAGGAAGAAGAAGATGGAGCCATGTTTGGAGTTTGCCCTTGAGGGTTTCATGACCACATCCACATCCTCCATGATTGGCTAGATCTACACTTAGGGCTTGGATGAGCCCTAAGTCTTGTGTAATCTAAACCGTTTTATTTCTATTTTTGGGGATTTATATATATATTGTTGTGATTAGTGCTTAGTCTTGTGATTATTGATTTAATTCTTCCTTATGATTCTCTATTTTAATTACATGTTGTCTTATGTGTGATTATTCGGGAATTGATCTCTACACTAGATTCTCTATGTTGGTTGCATGTCTATGTGTGATTAATTAAGGATCTAGTGATGGCTAAGCATGGGTTTTCATTAAATGGGTTTGTCAATTAATTTGATGGATTATGCTTACACTTGATGGGTTGTTCTATAATTTAATTCAATAATTCATGTTTGTAAGTAGGTAGATAATCTATACCTGATTTGATATTCCATGGCTTATTATTGCAAATTATATGATTCTCTAAATTGATGTGTGCTACAATTGTGACTAGTTTGATAGGTCATGCTTAGATTTGATGGGTTGTTCTACACTTAGTTTATTTATTGGTTAGGTAGACAATTCATACATGAATTTGATGGTCCATGCTTAATATTGCAATTGGTAGTCGTAATTTGTTCACAACAATGTATTCCCCATTAATGGAAAACAAGTGGTTAATTACATGAGCTTAGTGGTGATTCTAATACCCTAAGACCTCTCTTCATATCTCTTAAATCCCTATCTCTCACTAGTTTACTTTAATTGCATTTTAATTTAATTGTTTTCTAGAGTAATTAAATAACCAACCTTCCTTTACAATCTTTTGATACGCTAGAGTTGAAGTGAAATTCCAACACGTATAATCTCTGTGGACGATCCATACTCGCTATACTTCATTAGTTGTAGTAGTGGTTTTTATAAATGTAAATTTGACTAGAAAGGCTTTCGAAACCGCATTCATATTTTGACCTTGCGAAGCAATCTCTCGCATTAAAAAGTCAGTTTTCTATCAAATAAAAAGAGGCTCGTCATTAGAAACTTAGTCACTTGTTCAACACTATGCTCTATTCCAACTTGATACTCTGGAACACTTAACCCCGTAGGATTTAATTTATCTGCCAATCTTTTAACAAGGGACTTAGTACATGTTGACTCACACATGTCCAATTTTTATGGTTAAGAAAAAAACAAAAAATAAAAAAAATGAAATTAAGCAAATTTACATACAGAGTGGTGAAAATTTAAAATAAGTAAGAGAGGTGAAAATTCAAAATAAGTAAGTGATCAAGCAGGGCCCGTTTACTAACGCTTTCACTTTTTTATTTTTGCTTTCTGTAAAAGTAAAATCATGATTTTGATTTCTTGGACTGAAATAAAAAGTGAAATAATGTTCAATAATTTTTTTTACTTTCAATATTTTGAAAGCAAAAAAATAGGAAGTAAGTTTAATAATTTTAATCTTAATTTTGCTTTCCTGATCTTGTGTGTAAGAGATGGGTAACATAGGCAGGCTTCTTGCATCTGATATCAATATACACACAAATGATTACAAACATATATATATATATACACACACACACACACACACAACCTCTGTATAGGTGCGATTCGATTTATGTTGAATTCACCTCTGTATTATAGAAAAAGTATAGAGAGATTGATGAGGCTAATATTCATCCCTATAGACCATTTCTGAACCAAAAATCCATCCTATAACCAAAACCAAATCCATTAGTTCTTGTTAGCGAACCATGATCGGTTGATCAACTATACATCAACCTTCGCAATAGCACGAATCATTGTAAAATAGGATTATTGGTCAGGTAAGTCGAACCACTGGGACTGCGCTAATCTATGGCAACCTAAGTGTCTAGAGTCATTTTAGAGTGATAAGGTGTAATAAAGAGTTGTTGATTGGTTTGTCACTAAGCTAGAAATGTAAAGATGCATAAAATAATAAATAGAAGGAGATTAAAAGGAGTGAAACTTAGGTGGAGAGGACCAGGGAAATGAATCCACCACACACCTCATAAACATGCTAGCTTGCAATTAACTTGGGGAGCTACTTATGTAAATGACCATGATATGTAGAGATGCATGATAACTACACTATCTTCAAGAAGTTCATACAATCAAGAGCTAAGTATAAACCATCTAAGTATAATCCCCTAGGAATGGCCTATCAAATCCCTTACTTTGTATGGTAAATGCACATGTAATCAAAGACTAAGTATAATCCATCCACGGTTGGTATGAACCATCTACTTAATTACATTAAACTAGGGGTGTAGTATGGTTCATCGTTCCTAGGAATGGACTATCAAAACCTTCATAAGACATGCCAAGAAAACCATTTCATAATCTCATCTCCATTCCCACTATGAAGATGCAAGCTATAAAATCATGAGAGAATATAACCTAAAACAAGATGATAAAACTCAACATAATCATTAATAGAATTTAAGATCCATTACAACATGTGTAGAGCTCTAGATTATGAAAAATACCACATACATACTTCATTTCCCAAATTAAGAACAAAACTAGAGTATGCTTACAAGGGAGGCTTCATCACCTCCCTAGAAGAAGAGTTAGTTACCCATTGGAGCCTTAGAATGAAGAAGAAGCTTGAACTCCATCTCCAGTTTTCGAGCTTCCCTTTGTTAGCTTGAAGAACTCTCTTTCCTTGCTCTCTTCTCTCTCCTCTATCTTCCCAAAATGAAGCATACCAAATGTGTGGCCTTTGGTAGCCTTTTATTCTCCAACAAAACCCTCTCTCTCCTCCAAGGAACACCTCCAACCACTTCATAAAGAAGGAAGATGGCATTGAGGAAACCAATGTGCAAGTGGCTGAAATTGAGCCATTTCCGAGTGCAATCTGCCTGATTTTCGAGCACTTGAAAAGTGGTCTCGAGCACTCTAAATTAGTGCAATGTGCAACATGCTCTTCTTGCTCAGCACTGACCTACTTTGGTAAAATTGCTATAACTTTGTGCCCCGAACTCCGACTGATGATCTGTTTGAAGATTTGGAGAGATGATTCAGTGATTTAAACACTTCATGTTTTGATGAAGACCCAATTCTCAATTCTGGTTGGTCGAAAATGGGGAGAAAGGCAGTACTTCAGTGCTGCCAGGCAGTTCTGCGCACCTCTGTTAAGAAGATCATAACTCTCTGCTCCGAACTCCGAATGATGATCTGCTTGAAGATTTGGAAAGATGATTCAGATATCTACATCTTTCATGTTATGATGGAAGTCCAGTTCTTGATTTTGCTAGGTCAAAAATGGCGACAAAAGTCAGGATCACTGCTGCCAGAAATTCAGAAATGGCACCCCTTTTTGTTCAAAATTCCACAAGGCATCATTTTTGCTTCCTTTTTGCACTTTACCCTGAAAATGCACAAAAACATGCAAATGGAGTTAATCTTCATAAAATAATCACTTAATGGACTTTGTTAATGTAATTTAGGGCGCTTGAATATACAGTATTCAGCGCTTATCACACCCCCAAACTTACATTTTGCTAGTCCCTTAGCAAAACCAAAATGCAAAGCTCAATGGAATGAAAACATGGGAATGCTATTACAAAAATATTCACCATGGCAAAGATAAACATAAACATAGCTCAAATACAACTTGAAACAGATAAAGAGCTGGAGACGGGATCATTGGGAAGACTACCTTGCATATATGAAGCATTGATACAAAAATTGGAAAAAAAACATTTCAACATGCATGCATCAACATCATAGTCCATATAAATAATTCAATTGTCATCTCTTAAATGGAAATAACTCAAACTCCAGTGAAAGTGAATTGGATTCTCAACATGCGGCTTTTACTTTCTTTTCCAATTCCAAAGCACAAGTTTTCAAATAATTGAATTCCCCTTTAAATGAGGTCCCTAAGGCATGATTTTATTTACAAGACAACTTTTGTTGCTTGTTGACAATTTATTACAACTCATAAGCGGAACATAGAATGGTTGTGCAATGCCGAAGTCCCTTAAGCTTTCTAACCAACCCTTGTAGCAAGCGTTAGGCCAACAGCTCCCAAACCAGATGGCTTTAGGGTGTTAAGTGTAGAGACACTCCTAGGGCTTAATAGCTCAAGTTGGAAAGGCTACGAACTCCAACTAGTCATTTTTTTTTTTTTTAGATACATGCCAAAGGTATTCATCTATCAGGTTCATCAAATCAGATTAACTAGGCCAAGGTCAAGGTCAATCAAGTTGCATGCCTCACAGTTAAGTTTCCAATGTGCATCTGTGCATTGTGAAGCTTA